TACTTTTTCTACGTTTCCTAAAAATACAATAGAAAAATAATTTAATTGGGAAAAAGTGAGATTGGATCGGTCTAAAATTTGTTGGATATTAAACACAGAGATGTCGCCACCAGTGTTTATTCCGTCATCCGATGATAGAATATTTCATTCTGTAACAGTTTAAGGATTATAGGTATGTCATTCCAAAGTAATATTAGAACAGTCATATTCCGTAATTGGAATATACATGGAATGACATATAAAGTGTTACAGAATAAATTATTTTCTACTCCAATTATGGAATTTGCCCGTTCAAATATCCCTTTTATCTATGAAATGACATTTATTTCGTAAAGTGTTACAGAATGAAATGTTCTATCATCTGATAACAGAATATACACTCGTGGTGACATCTCTGTTTTTAATATGTAACAAATTTTAGACCGATCCAACCTCACTTTCTTCCAATTAAATTATTTGTCTATGGTATTTTTTGGAAACGTAGAAAAAGTATAGTCTGAAACACGTTTGGAATTGCATATTCCCCTCTTGTGAAACCGTCAAACTCGCCTTCGGCTCGTGTGACAAATTTTTCACTCGAGTGGGATGAAAAGTTTGAGCGGAATATGCCGTATTCCAAACTTGTTACAGAATATACTATTCTATAATCGGATGACGGAATGGACACTGGTGGCGACATCTCTGTTTTTAACAATTAAATTATTTTTCTATGGTATTTTTTGGAAACGTAGAAAAAGTATAGTCTAAAACACGTTTGAAATTGCATATTCCGCTCTCGTGAAACCGTCAAACTCGCCTTCGGCTCATGTGACAAATTTTTCACTCGAGTGGAATGAAAAGTTTGTCACACGAGCCGAAGGTGAGTTTGACAGCTTCACGAGAGCGGAATACGCAATTCCAAACGTATTTTAGACTATACTTTTTCTACGTTTCCAAAAAATAACATAAAAAAATAATTTAATTGGGAGAAAGTGAGGTTGGAACGGTCTAAAATTTGTTATATATTAAACACAGATGTCGCCACCAGTTTTTATTCCCTCATCCAATGATAGAATAATTTATTCTGTAGGTAATACTTTAAGGAATATAAGTCATTCCACATTAAAAAGTGGTATTGGAATGGTTATATTCCGTAATAGAAGTATATTCTGTAACAAGTTTAGAATTGCATATTCCGCTCTCGTGAAACCGTCAAACTCGCCTTTGGCTCATGTGACAAATTTTTCACTCGAGTGGAATGAAAAGTTTGTCACACGAGCCGAAGGTGAGTTTGACGGCTTCACGAGAGCGGAATATGCAATTCAAAACGTATTTTAGACTATACTTTTCTACGTTTCCAAAAAATAACATAGAAAAACAATTTAATTGGGAGAAAGTGAAGTTGGAACGGTCTAAAATTTGTTATATATTAAACACAGATGTCGCCACCAGTTTTATTCCGTCATCCGATGATAGAATAATTTATTCTGTAGGTAATACTTTAAGGAATATAAGTCATTCCACATTAAAAAGTGGTATTGGAATGGTCATATTCCGTAATAGAAGTATATTCTGTAACAAGTTTGGAATTGCTTATTCCGCTCTCGTGAAACCGTCAAACTCGCCTTTGGCTCATGTGACAAATTTTTCACTCGAGTGGAATGAAAAGTTTGTCACACGAGCCGAAGGCGAGTTTGACGGTTTCACGAGAGCGGAATATGCAATTCCAAACGTGTTTCAGACTATACTTTTTCTACGTGTCCAAAAAAGACCAAAGAAAAATAACTTAATTGGGAGAAAGTGAGGTTGGAACGGTCTAAAATTTGTTAGATATAAACACAGAGATGTCGCCACCTGTATTTATTCCGTCATCCGATGATATAATAATTCATTCTATAATACTTTAAGGAATATATGTCATTCCACATTATAAAGTGATTTAGAATGGTAATATTTCTATAGTATTTTTTGAAATCGTAGAAAAAGTATAGTCTGAAACACGTTTGGAATTGAGGGTCTCGGTGCAAGAACCGGGTATCTCCATATTCGAAAAATGTTCAGGAGACAAGAAAAACCTTGTTAAAAATTAATTTATACAATGTCATTAATTTTTATTTCACCTGTATCTGATATATATCATATAAATATATATTTAGTTATAGCTAACGTGAATCTACACGGTTTGTGCACCAAACGATGCGGAATACTGAAGGGTGTATTTTCATATACCTAACTCAATTTAGCAGAAAATATGGAGATACCCGGTTCTTGCACCGAGCACCTCAATAGCTAATTTGCCTTCGGCTCGTGTGACAAACTTTTCACTCGAGCGAAATATGCCGTATTTAAAACTTGTTACAGAATATACCTACTATTAAATAATTGTGTGTAGGTACACAGAGGAGAATCCTGTGAGTAGGCAGGGCCCCCCTAACCACAAAGCTAAATGGGCGCAACCTTTTATTCAAAATCTTTTCAAGAAAAAAATAAAAGAATAACCTGTTCTAAATGAAACAGAAAATAGTATACGAAATTAAATGAACTTTTTCTATTTCTGATACATTTGTATAACTTGTGGGGCATTCCACGTTACTCGGTAATTTTTGTCCCGCCCGTCACGATTAAAACTTGTGAGTAAAAACCACACGTTATTAAATTTATTTTAAAATATTTTCTATTATGCTTGTAAGAAGCTTATAAGCACATTAAAAATAATATTATAAAATAATAATTTAATAACTTGTGGTTTTTACTCACAATTTTTAATTGTGACGGGCGAGACAAAAATTACTGAGTAACGTGGAATGTCCCTTCTTTAACCCTATAAACTCCCACTAACTCCTATAAAAAAGAGCGCATTATATTTAGTAGCCCACATGCGCTGAATATCTTAAGACGGCCTTGTGTGTAGGTATACATCATTGGACAAAATGTAAGTATACTTACATTTTGTCCAATGATGGATGGGTTTTTCACTGAAGTCACTAAACGTTAATAAGGATTATACTACTCCAAATATATCTTTTTCTCCTTTTTGGTATTGGGAATTATTTCATCAAAATACTGTTTTGTTTTTAAAATTACTTTTCGTTTAAAAATTTCTGTTATCTTTGGCATTTTTTATTATAGTTCTGACAATTAAATGCATTCAAGGCACTTTCTTTATGATAAGTACCAATTTTAAATAATACCAAAGTAGGTACAGTACCAACATAAATAGGTTAATTCCCGATAAAAAAAAACTTTAAATTGTAGAATGTAACTACAAAGATATACCCCCCTGTTAAAAATCACCCATAGAGACCAATAGAAACCAATAAAAAATCAGAATGGAATGAATTGGTCTTTAATGGGCCTATTGGTTTCTCAACAGAATAAGCATTGGTTTCTATTGGTAATTTCCGTACTGGAAAATGCCAATAGATTACCTAATGGTCTGAATTGGTTTTTATAAGAAGTTACAAGTACAGGAATGAGCATTGGTTTCTATTGGTAATTTCCGTACTGGAAAATGCCAATAGATTACCTAATGGTCTGAATTGGTTTTTATAAGAAGTTACAAGTACAGGAAATTCCCAATTGAAATTCATCCATGCATACCTCTCGCCTCTGTAGCACAATACATATGCCTATAAAGGTGGAATGCCTTGAACTGCTAAGTAAGGATTCCTTACTAAGGCAAAATTACTGGCCATGGAAACGCTTGGAGTTTTGGAATTTTTAAAGGGGCACAGGTCGTCCTGTGGCCCACTGCGAAAAGTAAGCAGTGGGCCCCACTACTTACTTTTAGCAGAAGCTATTTATAAAATTTAAATTAAATATTAAACAGCACTATTTTTGAGAAATTATTTAACCATCAAAACACGTAATTTTTTACCTTAAAGACGTCTAAAATGGATAGTGGGGACCAATTCAAACCAATAGCGGTACCTCTGGAAAATCCAAATAGCTCTTCTATTGGGAATTACCATTAACATTTAATTCACCTCTATCATTCTCTATTGGGAAATTCGATTAGTCTCTATCGGTCTGTATTGGGATTTTCCAGCGGTGTCTCTATTGGTTTGAATTGGTGATTCATGGTACAGATACCACTATTGAGACCATGGTCTCAATTGCAATTCAAACCAATAGAGCTACCGCTGGAAAATCCCAATAGCTTTTCTATTGGTCTTTATGGGTGATTTTTAACAGGGCCCTCTAATGGATATCCATAGTGATATCTAATGTTTATCTCTTGGTATAGTTTTGTATAAAAATGTTTATAAGAGAGTTATCTATCAGATAGGTACTAAAATTATCAGATAGGTACTAAAATTAAAACGGGGTGAATAGGATCGTCGCGGCGGGGTTAATGTAAGTACATTTTTTGCTAAAAAATATATAAAAATCTATTTCACAACCTGAATCGTGTTTGGATAGATCTTTTTAATATATTTAGGTCAAATCACAATCCACACAACAAGGTCTGTTCTATCTGGTTTCGCGCATACTACTTTGGGTTTGTGCTGTTTATACAGATTAATAATCGTTTTAAACGTTATAAAATATATTTTTTTTACAAAGGTACGTAAGCCTAAAATGAGGCCTTATAAAGTGCTAAGGCCAACCATTTTACTCCTCTTTTGTAAAAAATAAACCTTATTCTATCGGGGCTATCATCAAACTGTCAATTTTAAGGTTAATTTATAACCTTTAAATTGACATTTGATATAATAAGGTTTATTTTTTATAAGAGGAGTAAAATGGTTGTCCTTAGAACTTTAAGGCCTCATTTGAGGCTTACAAGTGCCTCTGTAAGAAACAACGTTTAAAACGATTATTAAACAGCACAAACCCAATGCAAAAGAATTGTAAACAACAAAAATGTTGCAGTGATTTTTAGTATGCGCGAAACGAGATAGAACAGACCTTGTTGTGTGGATTTTGAGTAAAATATTTGAGTACTTTAAATGAACTATTTACAACCGGCAACTCTGCAAAATACAATACCTATAACCTCAAGTGTCAAATTTTCGCGGAAATTGTGAGTTGACCCTAGGGAGTTGACAAAATTGCCCAGTTTTGAGTACCTAATACCTATTGAATTTTTAAATAAAGAAGGTAAAATGACTTCAGTTTAATTAACATTTTTTTAAGTAAGTATATCATTGTTAGCATTTTATTGAAAATTAAGGTTGTTTATTTAAGGAGCCCGATAAAAAAACAACCGCCTTTGAAAATACGGGAAGAATTAGGCTTTATTATCTATGGTGTAGCCAGGCCTTCTATAATTAATAGAAGTCTTCTATATTTAACAAAAATCTTCTATCTTCTATGGTCCTAAAATATAGAATCATTGAAAATACAGGGAAAATTAGTGTTGCCAGGCGTTCTATATTTAATAGAAGTCTTCTATATTTAACAAAAACCTATTATCTTATGTACTCCTAAAATCTTTTATATTTCCGCTTTTTAGAATAAAAAGAACAGTTGCAATGTTCAGTTTATATTATCGTATTTATTGAGTGGGATATAAAATAAAAATTAATTGTTAATTCTATATGCTAAAGAAGCATCGGGTTTTCGCAGCGCGCGCGCCATCTGGTGGTGTTCGATAGCATTGTTGACAATTCAAGACACCCCCAATATAAATTATAATACATATTATAATACCGGTTCTTGCTATTATACCGTTGAGTGGAAACTTTCTTAATCAACGCTTTTAATAATGCATAATTTAGACGACTTATTTGTTTTACAATTTTCACGTAAATCATTACTAAAATGTGTATTTATTGTACTAATAGGTAGGTACGTACAATTTATATTTAAAGGGACTGTATGCAATTTATATTTAAAGGGACTGTATGCAATTTATTTCTTCATTCGGATTTTTACTGTTTATTGGGAAATCGGTAAAAACTCTACCCAGGATTTAATCTCGAAAAACACCCAACAACACAACCATGGCGGGAAAAAAACCTTACCACTATTGCAATCGTGGTAAGGTTTTTTTCCCGCTATTTTTAACATTTTCCGGCTTTATTCTAAAAAATAATCGTTTGTAACATACGCGTTTGACAGCTAATTATTAAAAGTTTTAGTTTTATTACGATGATAACGACCGCGTGTTGGCGCTACTAGCGATGCTTCTTTAGCGTATAGGTACTATTTTAGTCTTTTTTATTTTAATTTTACAATATATGTGTACTATTTTTTTATATAAATTAGCAATTATATCTAATGCAATATAAATTTTTTAAACTTTTATATTTTCCAGTGAATTTTTCTATTTACAGCATTTTGATTTCTATCAACCCTAGGGAGAATAGGATCGCAGTATTTTTAGTCGTGTATGTCGTCTATATATTAATTCAGCACGTTTTTGCTGATTTGAGATTTTTTGAGATAATATTATTGATATCAATGTATTAAATCCCCCTGTCATCATTTATTTTTTCATATTAACAAAATTATCCCAGGTAACCAAACGTAACGAAAAAGTGACAGAAATTGTATGTATGTTTTCTTTATCGTCACGTGTATAATCGTCGAAACTATATCAATTTTAAACTCAAATTTTTCACAAAACCGCTCACCTGCCGTTATAACGTGATCGTCACGTTAGCGTTATCGTGATTTTAAACCGAATCGACATAACGTTTACGTGACGCTGTAATCGTTACTAAATCAACACGAAAATACAGTTATATTCGATTTTGAATTTGTGACCGTATCTTTAACCAGTGGCGGCTGGTGGATTTTTGGTATATATACCGGTATACCAATATCTCAGTTATTAAACATATATGTCCTAGTTATTAAACATATATGTCCTATAGGACCCAAACCAAACTTTTATGAGTTTATAATAATATTAAATTGAAGTTTGCGAAAAAAGTAATTTTTTTCAGCACAGTCCCCTGCCCCCCTAATTAAGATAATGCAAATTAAAGTGGTGCTATTAATAACTCAGTGCAGTTTATCGACAAATTTCAAAATTTATTTCAAATTCCAAGTAGATTTTATACCATTTAAACATTTTTTATCCTAAAATAAAATTTAAAAAATGGTATAATATTTGTTATCTTGGATTTTTTAAATAAATTTTGAAATTTGTTATAAACTATAGTGAGTTATTAATTGCACCACCTTAATTTGAATCATCTTAATTAGGGGGGCACGCTGAAAAACTTAATTTTTTCGCAACAATTTTTAATTTTATTACAACTTCATAAAAGTTTTGGGTCCCATGTCTAATAACTAAGATATCAGTATACCCCAAATCCCCCAGTCGCCACTAGTGACTAGTGACAGCTGTCTTTAACTAATCTGCTCAAGTCTCAGATTGCTGGAATTAGTCCTAAATTTTTACTATAGTAAGCTATAGCTATATGTATATTTTAAATAATTAAATAAGCACAAAACACTGAAATGGAACAGGTTTCATAAAAATTTATGATTAATTAATAATAATACCTTTAACAAAACAATATATTTCTCAAACCAAATTATAAAAACAATAAAAAACTAAATAAATAACTCTATAAAAATATATTCTTCTTCAAAAGGGTAAAAACCAAATAAATAATTTTCTAAAGCATATTCAGTCAATATTTTTTCTTCTAATCGACATTTTGCTGTATTTCTTTTTTCTTTTGCTGAAAAAAAGTATTAATGTGAACACTAGTTATATACCTCCTCTACATAATAAAGTAAACAGAATTTTACATAATTTAGTTTTTAAATCAAAACCACGTACCTAGGTACTTGTTAAATATTTAGGTAATGTTAAAAGGCATTAAAATAATAAAATGAATGTTAACATAACTTATAATTATTTTTATAGAAAAACAATATGAAAAACAATACTTACAATTAACGCCTTCCAAAGAAAATAATATATAATAAAAACTAAACACAAGCTAATAATTTTTAAATAAACCAATTTCAAAACAAATTAGTTGCACGGGAACACTAAACAGAACAAAATCAGATCAATATACCTACCTAGGTACTTATTTGAAAATAATGGCGAATTGAATAAAGAGTTAAGAGGGTAGCTAAAGACACGGTAAATCGTAAAGTTAAAGTCACGGTATACCGTGACTTTTGTTATAACGTTATAACGTGACAATAAAGTCACGTTTATATAACGATTAATTTAGCAAAGTAAGTCTATGGAAAATCGTGAAAGCATTGGTAAAGGCAGATTCTATATCAAATCGACATCTCCAAAATTATTAATTTTCGTTAAAGATATATAGGTCACAACTTTATAGTTAAGATATTGGCCACGTTAACGTCACATTTAAAAATGTTAGTCACGTTTGGTTACCTGGGATGTTACTTATTTTTATTTAAAATTAACTGATATTTGGATGTGAGAAAAATAGTGATCAATATAATAATTTGCCCATCATATAATAATTTGCCCCCCCACCACCCTCATCATCAACCGTTATCATAGAGACCCTTCATATGAGGTATTTTGTTGTTTTTCCTGAAGTTTGTTTATATACATTTTTTTAATTTATTTTGTGATTTGATTCGCCCCTGACTGATTTAATTGGATTAAGCCCATATTAATAGACGATTCTATTGTCCCCGACTACGGGGCGAATATGTAGGATCACCGTATAAAACGTATCAAACTAAATTGTTTATAATTTCATAAAAAATGAACGACCTGTCAAATTTCAAAACTTATCCTATTCATTAAAGTAATACCTTAATAATTAAAGAGGTTCATGGGTAAAAGTGTTAAAACATTTTTGGTTAGCACGAAAAATGTTAGTTAACACCTAGGTATAAATAAAGCTTTATTTATCAACCCATTCAATTTTTATAGGTTATTTTTATAGGTATCATAATTTTATATTGACTTTCTTATTTTATAAACTATATATGTCACTTTTTCTGATAAAACTAGAAGTTTTTGAACTACAAATACATATACTGCAATAAAATAATTATTGTAAATTTTGTATCGTGGTATGCAATACGATAATTGTTGTGATTATCGCATTATGGTAACTATATTGTATTTTACTTTTGTAAACACGTACTTTTATTACAGAAAATCAAAATAGTGAACATGAGTGGCAGACTGTATGTAAGCAGACTACCGTACGAAGCCCAAGAAAGTGACCTGCGAAAGTTTTTTTATGAGTATGGCAAAATAAAAAAAATACTGATTTACACTGGTTACGCCCTAGTCGAATTCTATGATCCACGTGACGCTGATAATGCCATCCAAGATTTAAACGATAAGGAATTACTTGGAAGAAAATTGTTAGTGAAATGGGCAATGAGAAAAGCAGATTTAAACAAAGCAACTTCAGTCCAAATAGAATACCGATTAATAGTCGAGAACTTATCCCGTTCATGTCACCCGTATGAATTGAAGAAGTTCATGGAACAAGCTGGTAAAGTTGCTTATGTAGATAAAACCCGTATAGACCAGGGCATAGTAGAGTTCACCAACTTTAAAGACATGAAGAATGCCATTAATAAATTAAACAGAACAAAATTTAAAGGAAAACATATACGTTTAATGGAGGACCCCAAATCAAAAAACGAAAGAGATCGATCTAGGAGCAGTTCGCCTGAAACTTCAGGGGAAATTATTTCAAATCTTCTTAGCGTTCATTATTAAAACAAAGGGATACTTATAAATATCTTTCCAGAAGCCCAAGCTTTTAGAAATCTAAATCATCTTCCAGATCTCCAAGTAATGATTAAAAACCACGTTTATTTGTTTAATTCCAAGAAAACATTCGTTACTTGTAGGATTTGTTAGATTATTAAAATAAATTTATACTTTAAATCTATAGTTGAGTGGTTTTTATTATAGTAAATAAGACACATTCGTTGAATTTGATTATTCTTTTGATGCTGATAATGCCTTGTTCATATGAGCGATAAGCCTTGAAAGCCGAATATCAGTAAAAAAAGATATAATAAAAGTATTGCCCAACAGAACCAATTATCAAATAATGTATCTTTCACAATTTCCTGGCATGATTTGAGGAAGTACATGGGCAAAGTTTGCAACGTGGCTTACACGGAGTCCCACAATATCCATATAAACGGTAGAAAAATACATTTGACGGAGGACTTTAAATCAAGAAGCAAAAGAGACCGCTCCAGGAGAACTTTAAGTTATGCCAAAGACAAAGAGAGCATATTTAGTTCTAGATCAAAATCCCGTTCAAACAAAGGAACAATTATAAATCTTCTTCTAGGTCCAGAAGCCCCAGTGTTAAATGATCCAAATCGCCTTTAGGATCTCTATGTAAAGATAAAGATTTAAAATTATGTTTATTATGCATACCTTCTTGCATTTAATGTAGAACATTTTTGTATAACTCCTTATTAAAGTAAATAAAATAAAATTATTGTCTCTATAAAAAGAATTCCTCCACATAATTATTGGCAAAGATAGGTTCAACATGGAGAGGGTCTCGAAGTCATGTATGTGCCGTAAATCTCTACGTTGCGATATCAGTATCGATTATTTGGCCCATTTATTCCCGTCTATGCGGCAATACATAAATCTCTTCTTTCTATTTACTAACCAAGACATAACTATTGGAAAATATACTCGTACGAACGTTACAACTAAATACTTAAACTCCATATAAATTGCGAATTTGCAATTTATATAAAGTTCAATTTAAATTAAAAAGCTTATTTTGCTAATTTGCAATATACAATTATTGTGTGTTATTCTAAACATGTAACCCTTAAAGTTGTGTTAATACGATTCTCGAAGTGATTTTTAAAATAAGTTTATATAAACATGACCTATATATTTTTTAAACATTTGATCTTATAAAATAGTATAAAAGATAAAATACTGGTTATTTTTTTGAGCCCTTAAAGCCCTTTATAATCGTCCATGACCTGATTTTATGTTTTATATGTCGTTTAAAAGATTTTTTCTAAATACGCAGTATTGTCTTAATTTTATTATTTTTAATCTTTAAAACGGTTTAAATTAAAAAAAAACTTTAATATTTCCCTAAGAAATCCATACAAGTCTAGGAACTATAATACAAATTTTATAAAAAAAATACTTATACCCTAGCACAGTGCAGACGTGTTAATAGTCCGCTTCTTAAACATATGTCACAATCACTTAAATATGGAATAACCAAAGACTCACATTTCAAACCAAAAGTGCAGTAACCATGATGCTATTTTAATTTAATAATATCTCGAATATAATACCACTGTTGTACTAGCACAGAAAACCATGTGTATTGCTTTGTTAAATATTTAATAGTAATATTACTATTAAATAAAGGTAGAAATTACTAAAAAACCTTATTAACCATAGAAAAAAATTACCTTTTGCCTTGTCCTTCACAAATCATGCCCACTCACAAAACATTGCTACTAGCCCAACAAAAATTACAAAATTAAAAAAAAAACGATGCAATTAACCGAGATAAAACAAAGTTAATTTGTTTAGTATTGTCAAATTAAAAACAAAATACGACCACCACCACATAAGCACTGCGTACTGTCAAATGTCAATTACAGAACAACCATAATACTACGAGTAATCAAAAATATAATATATTCATCATATTATGATTAATATTTTGAGTTGTAAAATAGCGAATATTGTTTGTGCTTGCTTTGAATAGTACGAGTACTATTTCCAACCACAAAATATATTTGAATATTTGAAATATAGCGAATATTATTTGTACTTGCTTTGAATAATACGAGTACTATATGCAACCACAACAAATATTCGCACGCGTTAAAATATTCGACATATATTTGATTACGAGTGCTATTCGCAGGACAATTTTATTGAACCAAAAATTTTAATTAAAAGTCATCGAAATTGAAAAAATTAAAAATATTTACCTTGAACATAGTACCTACTAGTACAATATTCGCAACAATAACTTTTGATTGGTCGAAAATTTACAAATTAAGCGCTCTAATTGGTCCACTTTTAACACATGACAGGTGAAAAAAATGTCATCAAAATAACTCTGCAAACACACTTTCTAAATTTCAACAAAGCTGCAAACTGCATGGTTGGGCCAATTCTCTATAGGCAATAAGCACCAGAAATATTTTTTTAGCACCAGTTTCATTTAGCAATGTAAGAATAAAATTAAAACGTTGAATCTAGAATTAACAAAGTAGGTAATTAGAAAAGCCCATACATTTTGGGGCGCTATTTATTATTTCAGTTTGGCAAGAAAAAAAATTGGTTGGTTCCTTGTTGCATAACACCATTTAAATATGATTTCGAATAGTATATTGACTGGATTACGAATTATAATTATTATTTAATAATTGCCCAAGCCATTTAGACGCCTCCTAAAAACATTCTAAGAATGTTTTGCGATTACCGATTTTTAAAACCAATTTTATTAAAATATCTTAAATATTTCAATACTATCTAAAAAACGTATCGGAAATGTTTATTTTTGTTAATTTAATATCCATACTGAGGAGATCTGCAAATACCCCACTACTAAACAATCCGTGGGTTATTACGATCCTAATTTTTTTAAATGTATTCAAAAAGTCATGTAAATAAACTTTCATTTAAATCTACCAGGAAGCAGAAATGTATTTGACGTAGAGTGCCGAACGCTTGGCGTAGACAGGCACTCCTGTTTTTTTGGTGGGAAAAGGAAGGGGGAAGAATACGACATTCGAGACGGGAAGGGAAGAACGGAGATCATTCGAGAAGAACCCGTGCAACGAACAGGAGGTGTAAATTTGGTGAATGTAAAAGTGTTTAAATTATTGTAGTATAAATTTTATAATAAAGTTAGTTATTAAAATGTACTATTTAATAGTATAATTAGTTAACACTTGTATAAAGATAAATATTCGATCATTTGACTTGACTTCATGGGGCCATAATGGCTGCCGTCTTAATAAACCACGCCTCTAATCGACATGATGTAAATTTACGTTTGAACTATCTCGAATTATAATTTAGGTTCTAAATTATAAACAATTTGTACTTGATTTTATCTTATAAAAAGGGCAGGGTTGTATTTGATTTTATCTCATTAAAAGGTCAGGGTTGTACTGGATTTTATATAGCTGAATGTCAGGGTTGTACTTGAGTTTATTTAATTATTTTAATAAATATTTCTTAAGGGGATTTACCATAAACGCTGTGTGAATTAAGTGTAATTAATATTAATTTTCTTGAATACGGGATTTATTAAATTGTACTCGCAGATTCACATTTATTTCCCGTAATTAGTTAAGTGATTTAACCAGTCATATTTAATTATTTGGTATTACGTTTGGAGTGAGTAGCAACAGTAATTGTGCGATAGCGACATTTAATTTATCACCACTGTCCGTGGAGTCCTGATACAAAATGCCCATTTTGAATTACTATCCTGTAAATTTTAAGAGGAGCGTAAAGGTCTGGATTCATCTGAATGCAGACATTGCCTTTTGTTTTAATTATTAAGTTATTAAAGTTTGTCGACTAATGAGGCATAATGGCAATTGCGGACCCTCAATTGGAATGACCTTAAAGCCGATTATTATTTACTCCTTATTCTAACAGTTGATTGAGCCTGAACTCTAATAAATATTACATGAAAAATTATGTAACAGTAAACTTAAATTTAACAGTAAATAATTATAAAAACTGTATTTGCAGGATGGGGACCTAATGCAGATGGAATTCTTGACGGATAAAGTTAAATTTAAAATACAAAAATAGAGACCAAGACTCAATCTACATTTATCCAACAAATAAGCAAACAACCAAAGAAACTAAAAATTAAAACGATGAGCATCAACGCGAGAGGAGAGAACTATCTACTTGATGTATTATTTATCTAATGGTATTTATATATTTATTTATTTATATTATATGTGGGTTGGGGTTGCAGTAAAGAGATATTGTGTTGGTTTAAGGGTTTGTAGGATGTCCCTTTCTTTCAGAGTTCTCTTTCAGAAAATAAGTTAAATGTCGTTTGGGTTACGGTTATTGTTGTTGCTTTATCCAAATAAATATCAATATTGTTTGTTATAAATTTTAGTGTTTTATACGTTTAACTCTTTCCCATAATCCCTCATTTTGGAAGGTTTTATGAGAGATATTTATATAAAAATAAACAAGAGCCTTCTAGGTGTTTGACCTGAGTTCAAACGTAATTTATTGTGTTTTATTTACTGTATTTATTATTTCCCTCTTAATACTTTTCCCATGAATACATCACGTCAAAAGTACCCTGGGTTACTAAATTAATAAGCTTTATTAACGTAAGTGTTTATTTTATTTATTTGTCGTAATTTAATATAACATTTGCCGTGTTGTTATATTGCATTTATCACTGGGGGTGTAACTTTTGCAGATTCTTTGATGGGGGGGTTGTACGCTAACAATACATTGACTGAATTGAATTGAATGAATGCAGTGAAGCATTTTTGTAGGTATATAAACAATGTTTTAGATATCTGGGTCATTCTCACGAAAATGTTCAATTTACATACTTACGGCGAAATATATATTTTTTGTAGTAAAATTAAACACATTAAATAGTACGTGAGATCTCACGTTTGTTAGTTGTCCCCCGCCAGAGTTTCTTTATTTCAATTTCAATTTACTTATTTATAAAATTTAAGTTTTAACCACAAAAATAATAAACAGCACGAAAATACCACAAGTTTTTTCATCTTATTAAAAAATATTAGTAAATGTTTTTTATATCCCCACAGATAATTGTTTTATAAGTGTCCCTGGATGACTTTCTCACCTCCGTTAATATAGACTTAAATTGTAATAAAATATCATAGATGGCTCTTACGTTGCTAGGTATTTGTTAACCAAAAAAAATAGTTACTGTTTAGTTGGATTCCTGGTGCGTGACATAATATTTTTAGTTTTTTTGGAACATTTTCAAGAATATCAAGTATTAAGTGTTCTAACGTGGAGCATAATTCTCACTGCTGTTAGTGGTTATCAACAGGTAAGCAATTAGATATTAATAAAAATAATTACATATTTAAATATTATGAACAGGCAAGCGTTTATATTGTCTGGGACCAGTTAATTTCACTGCTGTTAAAAGCTTTTATAAAGAAAGTGAGACATGTTTACTTAAGTGAGGCTTTATACGTAATACCTATTTTGGTATATTTGTATAATGAGGAGTTCGTTAACGTTTTCTGTTAAATTAATCTAAAATTTTTAGTTCCTAACACCTGAAAAATAATCAGCAGTCAACAAAGTCCTGCTGAGGTCTTCATTATTGAGATGTATACTCTGACTGTGATGACGATTTACCTTTATCTTCATGGGTTAGCAATCAGTGACAAGGAAAACCGATGGACGATTTTG